TATAGCCATCATACAACACCCTCTTATCTTAATACTAAGATCTACCCAACAATAAATGACAAGCATCTATAGAAGCAACATCACACCATACTTCATCTTTATAATGCTTGCTAATAGAAAACTAAACTAAACTAAACATCTTTTAGTTACCTTAATGTTATTCCCCTTTTGCAGCCAGCATAATTGGTAAGGATGTGGATGAGAGATTGTCCAACTTTAGCTTCCGCACTATCTCTAAAGACACCACATTCTCAAAGCTGCCACTATCAATGATCACCAAGCACACCTTGCCATGAGAAGTGCATTTGGTGTAAAACACGTTCTTTCTCACCCAACTTTTATCCTCAGCCACATAAGACATTTAAGCTATGTTGTACCACAATAGACAAACCATGACCAGTATAAATAACCTCTTCCTCATCATCATCAAATTCTAGTTCATCGTTGGCTTCTTCTTCTTCACCACTATGATTTTCAACCAAAGTAATAATTCTTCAATTTGGACAATCTGAAGTAATATACCTAAAACCATGACATTTGAAATATTTTTAGCTACTTGGTGTAGAAGAAGTAGGTGTTTGTTTGCTGCCAGCAGATCCTTCACCCTTGTCTTGCACCTTTGACACCATCTTGCTTTGGAGAATAGGCTTGGAATTTCCTCCTCTCATATAACATTCTTTTGACCCATACCGAGAACTCTTTTCAAACTTCTATTGCTTCTCAACTTTTAAAGATAACTTGCTCACATCATTTAAAAACCAATATGGCTAGAGTTGAACCACTTTAACAATCTCATACTTCAGACCTCCTAAGTATCTTACAATGGTTTGCTCCTCTAGTTCCACAAGCTCTCCTTTTAACATGAGATTATCGAACTCTGCTGTGTACTCCTCTACTCTAAGATCTTTTTGCTTGAAATCATAAATTTTGAGAAAGATCTCTTGCTTATAGTTGTCAGGCAAGTATTTCCTCTTCAACTCCCTTTTCATTTTTTCCCATGTCACGATCTTACTCTTCCCCTCATATTCCCTTTACTTTTTTAGATTTTCCCATCAAAAAGATGCATTCCTTCTGAGTTTGAGTGCCACAAGCTTTACATTCTTTTATTCTAGTGGTTCATGAAACTCAAACATTCTTTCCACCGTATTAAGCCAATCAATAAAGTCGTCAATATTGATTTTACCTTCAAACTTCGAAATATCCAAATTTAGGTTGTATTTGTTCTACTACTCGTCTTGGTCTCTATACCTTGCTCGATATCTTCCCAACTCCCTTGGGTGAGGAGGTGTATCATCATCAGAGCCAAACTCTTGGGCATCATTTTCATGTTGGTTGCTTCTTCTCCAAAGTTCTTTAATAATTTCATTCTTTTCTTGTATACTACATAGTAATCTCTGTAACTGCAACCTTAAGGACTTAACGTCATCTTTATGGCCACTACCTTCACCAATTACATATTTTCCATTCCGTCTTGCCATGATCTCTAGCCTTTAGCTCTGATACCAAACTAATACCGTGATAAGGAGGAATGGAATTTGAAAGACTAATAAATGTATTTGCTAAAAACACTTTTGGAGAAGAGAGAAATTGATTCACCAAGTTTAAAATCTTAAGGGATATAAAAACTCACCACCCTAAGGATAATTCAACAAGGATACAAAACTTAAAAAAAAGACTCACCACTCAAGAAAATATCCAAGAGATATAGAGACAAAACCCACCACTCTATGGTAAACCAAAGAGATGCAAAGTAATAAGAGAGAACTCAAAAAGTTTCTACAAATACAATCAGATTCTGAACTGTTTCTAGCTCGAAAACACCAAAATAAATACTAGTGTATAAAACAACTCTCCATGCATAGGAAACTACTAAATTTATTGCTTTGCAGTTGATAACTAAGTCCTTTAATGCATTCCTTAGTCATGAAGAAAAGTTATATTAACTCTACCTTCGAATCTACCCACCAATTGGAAAGTTAAGACTATGAGCTTTTTCAACTTATAAAGGCATGCCCCGTAACTCTTTAGTAATCAATTTGGGTTATTCAATCATGTTAGGCCATTTGTAGGTTTAGAAAATGGGCTTGCAACTCATTTGGCTTATGAGCTATCACATTTGAGAGGTCTGGTTTAAAGACTATGGGACAAGCATTGTGGGTTATAGATAATACCATAGGATCAGCAAAATTTACACGAGCTGATTGTAGTAAATTAGGCATTCCCATGTCACCTAAGTCTTATCAATTTTGTTTTCCTTTGTCTTAAATAAATTACTTTGAAGCAAAAAAAGACAATACTTATATTGGACTTCATGTGCTGCATATTGTATTGATTTAATGTTGAAAGATATTGAAAAGATTCCTGGCATCAAGAAGACTTTCAAAAAAGCAATTTTTATTGTTGGATTTCTCTATAATCATATTAGAACTTTAAATATGATGAGAGAATTTATAGACAATAAGGAATTAGTGAGATATGGTATCACTCATTTGCAACTTCCTTCTTTCTTGATATTATAAAGCATGGATCATAAAAAATATAACTTGAGAAACATGTTTACCTTAGAGAAATATGTGATAAGCAAATGAGCAAAAGAAGCGAAACACAAGAGGGCCAGTGATATCATCTTAATGTCGTCATTTTGGAATCTTGTAGTTTATACATTAAAGGTAATAGGCCCTCTTGTTCAAGTCCTTCTATTGACAAACAATGAAACGAAGATTGCAATGAGATATATTTATAAAACTATGAATAGAGCAAAGGAGATGATATTTGCAATCATTAACGAAAGATGAAATTGTCAACTACATCGTCCATTACATTTAATAGGATATTATTTGAACCCAGAATTCTTTTATAAGAATACCTCCATTGAGTTTAATACAGAAGTTATAAATGGGTTATATAAGTGCATTGCAAGATTAGTTCCAAGCCTTGAGATGCAAGATAAGATCATATGTGACTTATCTTTATATAAGAAAGCTAATGGTCGTTTTAGAATTTCAATGGCAATTTGATCTATGACAACTACATCCTTAAATATTTAAAAATTTATATAATTAATTTCATGTATAGTATGTTATTGTTAATAATAAAGTAAATTTTACAGCTAAATAGTGGAGTCTATTTGGAAATTTCATCTTGAACTTATAGCAATTGCCTATCAAAATTCTTAGTTTGACTAAAAGTGCTACGGGTTGTGAGCGAAACTAAAGTATCTTTGAGCATGTAAGGATCACAGAATTTTTTTGTTTCAATATACCTATTCTTTTTTAGGTAGATGTATTAATCTATTTTTAAATTATATGGCATAACAAATTCACATAAAGAGAAGAAATTGGTTATAACATCAACGATTACATGATCTAGTTTGTATAAAATATAATCAAGCATTGAAGACTCATCATTATTTGCGAAAAAATATTGATCCAATCTCACTACAAGACATTAATGATTCAAATGAGTGGTTGGTGGGGGAAATGGGTGTGAACTTACAAGATGCCCGAAGATGAGCTTGTATTTGAAGATGACAGCTTCACATAGAGAGATGTGACAAGAGCCTTAGGTGTTGGAGAATCACAAACATATACAAGACAAATGACAAAGGTAAAAATAAGTGCAAAAGTCTCAAATTCATCCATTGCCATTGTCGAAGAGGAGGAAACCTATTTTGATGAAGATGGATAAGAGGAAGAGAAAGATAATATGTTTGAATATGACGATGTTGATTATGATGATAATTGAATTTGATATAAAACTTTATTGTTTCGAGCCTCTTGACATTTTTGTTATTAGAATATGGATAACGTGACTTGGTACTTTAGATCTTTTTGATTTAATATCATATTTTTATTTATATAATCATATTTATCATTTTTTTTTTTTAATATTTCAAAGCATCTCGCTTCGCTTGGGTTAGCGCCAAGTGTCTCTAGCATTTTGGGACCTTGGTGTCTTTTAGCTCTTAGCGTCTTTTAAATCACTGTTATCAATTATATATTTTAATTAAAAGAAAAAGTTACTTATCAAGATGAATCTAAAAATTTATCTTTTCGAAAGAAGGAAAAGATAAATGCTTGATTAGCTTTGTGTGATCGAATTTTATTATTTTTTTCTTGCACTTGAAACCTATAAAAAAGTGCAAAGAGATTGTAATGGGATCTTAAGTTGTTGAATGAATGTAAGAGTTTCTTTTCACACGTGTGAGTAGCACAAACGTATAGTCTTCACATCGATGTCAATTGGAAGGGCTTGGAGCAAGTCCAAAAGTATTCTATTTTTATCTTTGTCTCCTCTCTTCTAAATAGACTACCGTCTAACTTCCACCATTCCTAAAATTTCTAAAATCCTAAATAGCAGAAAGTGTAACATTGTTAGAGTTACCCTAAAATGTAAACTTGTGATCAACTTCACAATCAAGTCAAACAAATCAAGAGGGTGAAACAATGTTTCTCTCCTAATGTGCTTTGTTGTTCCCCCCTTGCTTTGTCACTTTTTTTCTTTTCCTCTTATTACCAGCTCTTTTGCAACAAGACCCCTAAGCTTATCACCTTTTAAATTGTCCTATATCAATATGAAGTGTTGCAAATAAATTGAAGGAAACTAAATGATAAGCTCTGGAGTGATTAAAGTGAAGAAGTTCAATAAAAATAATCAAGATACTAGTCAAACAAAAAGAACAATAGAGAGAAAAAGAAACCAAGAAAAATTTCTTATTTCTAAGGGATAAATGATATTTTCTATCTCGTGTGCCAAGCTTGATAAGCTCTGGGGTGATTAAGTGAAGAAGTTGAATAAAAATAGTCAGGATACTAGTCAAACAGTAGAGAAAACAGAGATAAACTAAGAAATACATTCTGAGGGGTAAATGATCTTTTCTATCCTGTGAGTGCAGTTTATGTTGCAACCTATTTCCTGAGAAAAGAAATTCACCACCTATTTCTTATGCAATTGAAGACAAGGTCAAAACCAAGTAAATAATTTACAATAAAGTTACTTACTTGAATGGATTGAGCAATCTGGGTAACAAATGTTGGAGGTAGTTTGAGATCCTTCACTGTCCTTTTAGCAAAATTGTTCACTTCCGAGTCAGGATCTTGAAGTGTAAAACCGAAAAGGAATGAGTAAATACAACTACATATAACTCATGCACAATTTCAAAGTTGGTAAGCAGATAAGTAGATGATACTTGGTAAAGAACGAATCCATCACTGCAATGTTAATTATGACTTCATGTCTACTTATGAGTAGAAACTGAAAGTGGTCTATTTTCAACACACACAAGCATGTACAACACAATGCTTTAACTGATCATAAGCCATCATCAGCTAAAGCAGTTGACCTAGTTCAAAGAAAAATTCCTTAGCGAATACAGAAGTAATTCACAGGACTTTCTTATAATTGAGTGGATGAACAATTCAGACAGCAGAAATAGCAATGTAATAAGTCCTATACTCTTACGTGGTTTAAATCAAGGTTCGCCTACCATACCGTACCGGCGTTTCAACCCGGGCTCGGTATGGTACGGTATGGTGTACCGAGTGGTACACCTGATTTCACCGATTTAACCCTTCGAAAATACCTAAAAATTAAAAAAAAAGTTAGGATAGGGTTTTCAAGTTACGAATAAATATAGTAATAGTACAAGTTTAGCAAAATCAATGTAAATTAGGTAAGAATAGTATCACATATCTTTTTCGGACTTTGAGGTAGTCTTGTTCGAGGTTCGTATTTCAGCCCGTTATAGATTGAAATATCTATAGAAAAATCAGTTGAATTGTTAGACTATTTTGTTACAATATAAACTCTAAAATTCAAATGAATTAAATAATCACATATCTAGATATACCTGATTGTTGATTTTACCACCAAAACGAATGACGGGCCTCCACGGATGGTGGATCGAGGTCCTCGATCCGATACATATCAATATGATACGTTTGTTGGACCCAATCATGAAATTGATCTCATGACATAGTGTATTGATACACTGTATGCCATTGATGCATCAATGTGGTGCTAATCGTAGATTGATCGTCATGAATCATATTTGTCCGAGACAGCTCTTGATACATATATTGGTGTTGTTCTATATCATGTTGTTGCTTAGAGAAGGATGACCAATTATCACCATACTGTTGTTGCCCGTATGATTCTCCATAATACGATGATTGTGAATACGATGAGCCTCTTTCTATGTCTATATCATGTATGCTCTGTCGCATTTGTTCATATTCATCCACTGCCTTCCCCTTCCCCTTCCCCTTCCGCGCATAAACTTGAGCAGTACCTTGTCGAGTTCTATGATCTGAATCTTGAGTGGCATGTGTAAAATATTGCTCCTCAGTTCATTCACCACCCTCAAGTTGTGTAGACGAGACCAACGACTGCCTGGCATCACCGCCATCATCTGTCGAGGCACTGCTGTCCGTGTTGCTGTCATGTCTCTGGACCGAGGGAGAAAGAGAATGTGATTGTGAAGGTGTCTCGTCGCCCGACTCGATTATTTCCAACGATGCAACTGATGCTACTGCCTTCCCCTTCCTCTTAATCTTCCCAAATTAGCCTCGATTGAATTCACAAATCGTTGTTTTATAGAGTTTAGGAGAGAAAAAAAAAGTTTGAGAGAGAGTTTAAGAGAGTATAATGAAATAGGGGAGAGAAGAATGGTTTAGATTTAGATTTTAACACTACTAATCTTTAGATTTTAACACTACTAATCTTTAGATAATTATATTGCCATTTGAAATTGGAGGAGAAAGGGCTCCAACGGTCAAATTGACCGTTGGAGCACTGTAGCACTGCTATAGTGCGGTAACGGTCGAAATCGACCGTTACCAAGTGGTACCAGGCGGTAACAGTCGAAATTTCGACCGTTACCGCTCGATATTACCCCGTATCATCCGATACAGGGTTTTTTGGGCGTACCGCTCGTTAGCGGGCGGTCCGCGTACCGATAGCCTGTCGAACCGGTACGTACCGCCCGTACCGGGCGATACGATTCGATATGGCAGGCCTTGGTTTAAATATATGTTAAAGGTTCCCTAGACTACCTTATATAGGAGTAAAAAGTAAAGGTCTCCAAAACCCATGGATTTACTCAACTGACATTCAACTGAAACTGAAATGCTTTGACCAAAGTAAAAAACAGATTGTAAGTTGTGTGTTTTGATTATACAATTGTAAGTGAATGATAAACAAATATCAATATGATAATACTATGTATTACATATAAAAAGAGAAAGCAAGATATGAGGCAGTCTATATTGCACATTCCAATATATTCTAGGTCATCCTAATTTCTCATCCTAATAGCTAAGTTTAACCAGAATAAAATAGAACCGTTCAAACTCAACAGAAGCTGGCCAATTTTGGCCAGTTCAAGCCAATTTCACAGCCTTAAAAGAAGAAAATAAGAGAGCAGAAGGAGCAAAAGCAACAGAAGAGGACAAGAGTGAATACAAGATAGAGGAAAAGCAAAAGGAAGAAACAAAGCCTAGGACCATAACCTTGAAAAAGAAGAGGCAATGTAATTGCTATTGACTATAACCACCAAATTTGGCCAAATTGGCACTGTTCTTGCAACGTTCGTCATCTACCACAGCATTAGACATAGACAACGAAATAAAGAAAAAAATAGGGGAATGATTAAAACAGTCCTTAACCCCTTAATCTTAAAGAACTAGGGATGTCATCAATAAAAAAGATGTCATATAATTGATCATATCCTATGAGAGATCTCTTCAAATATTCTTTTTCTACGGTTGTTTTTGCATTAACACTTTACCTGCATAGTGATAAAGAAGCATCAGGTCTATAGCAGTGATTTAAAAAGCGCTAGGCACCAAGGTCTCAAAACGCCATAGGCGCTCGCCCGAGCGAAGCGAGGCGATCTAAAAATATTAAAATATAAAAAAAATATATAATATAATTAATAAATATGATTATTTAAATAAAAATATAACATTAAATTAAAAAGATCTAAAGTACCAAATCACATTATCCATCTCCTAATAGTAAAAATGTCAAAAGACTCAAAATTCAAAACAATAAAGTTTAACATCAAAGTCATTTATCATCATAATTAACATCGTCGTCATTTTCAAACAATTCATCCTCATTGAATTCATTCTCTTCCTTTGGTCCTTCTTCATCAAAATATGTTTCATTCTCTTCAACAATAACAAGAGCCGAGCTTAATGCTGTTGCACTCATTTTTCTCTTCATCATTTGTCTTGTATATGTTTGTAATTCTCCAACACCTGAAACTCTTGCCACATCTCCCTATGCCAAGTTATCATCTTCAAATACAAACTCGTCTTCGGCATCTTGCAAGTTCACACCCATTTCTCCCACCAACCACTCATTTGAATCATCAATGTCTTGTAATAAGATTGGATCAATTCTATTTCGCAAATCATGATGAGCCTTCAAAGCTTGATTATACTTTATATAAGCAAGATCATGTAATCGTTGATGATTATACTTTATATAAATAAAATCATGATTATACTTTATACTTGACTATACATTATAATTTGAAAATATATTAATATATCTATTAAAAATAAATTAAAATATTTTGTGATCCTTACTTGCTCAAAGACACTTTAGTTTCGCTCATAACCCGTAGCACTGCATGTCAAACTAAGTATTATGATAGTAAATTGCTGTAAGTTCAAGGTGGAATTTTCAAATAGACTTCACCATTCAGCTGCAAAATTTATTTTATTATTAGCAATAACATAATAGTATACTATAGATAAAATTAATTATATCAAATTATTAATACCTGAGGATATAGTTGTCCTAGATCGAATTGTCATTGAAATTTCAAAAAGGCCATCAACATTCTTATAAAAAGATAATTCATGAATAATCTTATCTTGCACCTCAAGACTTGGAACTAATCTTACAATGCACTGATATAACTCATTCAGAAATTCTCCATCAAACCCAATGGATGTGATCTTATAAAAAAATTTTGGGTTCAAATAATATCCTAATATATGTAAGGGACGATAAAGCTGACAATTCCATCTTTCGTCAATGATTGCAAATATTTTCTTATGTTTTTTTTTCATTAAAATACTTTTGAATCGTCTCCTTTGCTCTATTCATAGCCTCATAAATATATCTCATTGCAAGCTTATTTTCATTATCCGCCAACCGAAGAACTCGAACAAGAGGACTCATTACCTTTAATATATAAACTACAAGATTCCATAAGGACAGCATTAAAATGATATCACTAGCCCTCCTACCTTTCGCTTCTTTTACCCATTTGCTTGTCACCCATTTCTTTGAGGTAAACACGTTTCTTAAGTTATATTTTTGACGATGCACGCTCCGTAATGTTAAGAAGGAAGTAGCAAATCGGGTGATATTATATCTCACTAATTCCTTGCTGCTTGTGAATCCTCTCATCATATTCAAAGCCCCAGAATGATTATAAAGAAATCCAACAACAAATATTACCCTTTCTAAAGTTTTTTTTATTTCAGAGATCTTTCCAATATCCTCCAACATT